GACCCCCCGGTGCTCCCTGGTGCCCCCCGGCCCCATGGCAGTCCCCGTCCGGCCCCACAGGCGGACGCTGTTCTCAGCCGAGCGGGGGGCACGGCCGGAGGCGCGGCGGGTGCTGGTGCTGATCACGGATGGCGACGCCACCGACAGCGACACCGACGGCAGCATCCAAGCAGCTGAGGAGCGTGGCGTGCACCGCTACGTCATTGGGGTGGGCATGGCCGCGGCTGGGTGGGGGCGTGGTCACGGTGGGTGTGGCCATTGTATGGGGTGGTCACTAGTGGGCAGTGTGAGAGGGTGATGGGTTGGTGTGGTCATGGTGGGTGTGGTCATCGGATGGGTGTGGCTATTGATACTATGGTGGCAGTCACTAGTGGGCAGTGTCCTGAGGCTGATGTTGGGTGGGCGTGGTCACGGTGGGCATGGTCATAGTGTGGGCGTGGTCACTGCATAGAGGTGGTCACTAGTGGGCAGTGTCAGTAGCGTGGTGTTGGATGGCCGTGGTCATGGTGGGCATGGTCATTGTGGGCATGGTCATTGTGTGGGCCTGGTCATTGTATGGGTCAGTGGTGGGCAGTGTTGCAAGTGTGGCATTGAGTGGGCATGGTCACAGGGTGYGTGGTCACTGTGGGTGTGGTCACAGTGGGCATGGCCATTGTATGGAGATGGTCACTAGTGAGCAGTGTCATGAGGTTGATGGGTGGGTGTGGTCACGGTGGGCAGTCACGGTGGGTGTGGTCATGGTGGGCATGGTCATAGTCTAGGCGTGGTCATTGTGTCACAACTAGCGGGCAGTGTCACAAGTGTGGCATTGGGTGGGCATTGTCAGGGTGGGTGTGGCCATTGTATGGAGGTGATCACTAGTGGGCAGTGTCACGAGGGTGATGGGTGGGTGTTATAATGGTGGGCGTGGTCATGGTGGGTGTGGTCATGGTGTGGGCATGGCCATTGTATGCAAATAGTCACTAGTGGGCAGTGTTGCGAGGGTAATGTTGGGTGGGCGTGGTCATGGTGAACGTGGTCATTGTATGGGGTGGTCACYAGTGGGCAGTTCACAATGGTGATGTTGGGTTGGTGTGGTCATTGTGGGCATGGTCACTGTGGCCGTGGTCATTGTATGGGGTGGTCACTAGTGGGCAATGGCATGAGTGTGGCATTGGGTAGGCGTGGTCACAAGGGGCATGGCCAGCGGTGGGATTCATAGTGGGTGTGGTCATAGGCATGTCATGGTGGGCATGGCCAGTGGTGGGCGTGGAGATCACTCGTCATAGTGGGTGTGGCCGGAAGGGACTGATGGTCACATGACAGCCGCAATAGAAGTGTGGACATGAGTGGGCGGAGCCAGGTGTGGGTGGTGGGCGTGGCCATTTGGGGGTTTGGGTGTGGAAGAATAGGTTATGGGTGGGAATCACTGTCACCGCAGTGGGTGTGGCTCTGGGTGGGCATGGCCATAGGTGGGCGTGGCCACAGATGCTCATCCTGAGGTGGCAGCAATGGGGACACAGGGAGGTGACAGCAGTGTCCCTGTGTCCCCTGAGGTGGCAGCCATGGGGACAATGGCTCCCCCTCGGTGCCAGCTGTGTCCCCGTGTCCCCTGGGTGCAGGTCAGGCACAATTTTGGCAGCGCTGACACGTGGCTCTATCTGCAGCAGTATCCCCATGTGCCATGGGGTGATAGCCATGGTGACGCAGGGCGGTGACAGCAGTGTCCCCAGAGGTGGCAGCAGTGTCGCCTGGGGTCACAGCGCTGTCCCTGTATCCCCGTGCAGGTCGGTCACAATTTCGGCAGCGCGGACACTCGCCTATACCTGCAGCAGTTTGCCTCCGGGCCCGGCTCTGTACAGCTCCTCGAGAGCTTCGAGCGCCTCCGCGGCCTCTTCCGGGAGCTGCAGGCGCGGCTCTACGACATCGAGGGTATCGCGACAGAGCTCCGCCCGCTCCGGGAAACCCCGCCCACCAGGGAACTACCCCACTTCTGGGGAAACACCGCCCACCAGGGAAACCACGCCCCCATCAAATCCTGCCAACTCCTGGGGAGAACCCGCCTCTCCAGGGAAACCCCGCCCCCCGGGAAAACCCCGCAGACATCCCGTCCCTCCTTGGCACTGTCCCCACCCCAGAAACCGCCCTACTTCCAGTGACACCTCCCCGCTTCCAGTGACAATGCTGCCACCCTGGTGACTCCGCCCCCCACTCCCAGGGACCTCCCCCCAATTAACGCCGCCCAAATTAACACCCCTGCCCCCAAATCCATTCCCCTCACCCCAATTAACCCCATACACACCAATTAATCCCTCCCTCACCATAATTAACCCCTCCCTCACCCTGATTAATCCCTGCCCCTCCCCCATCCCCCTCTGGCCCTTTCCCCCAATTTCTCATCCCAATTAATTACTTAATTAATACCTGCCCCCACACCTATCCCTCTCACCCCAATTAACCCCTCCCTTGCCAATTAACCCCCCAATTAACCCCACCCCCCAATCCTTTCTGGCCCCTCCCCCAATTATCCCCTTCTTCCCCAATTAATTAAGCCCTTCCTCACCCTAATTAATACCCAAAACCCATCCCGGTCTCCCCCCTCATCCTCTCTGGCCCCTCACCCCAATTAAGCCCTCCTTCCCTAATTAACCCCATCCTAATTAATACCTAATTAACACTCCTCCCCCCAAATCCATCCCACTCACCCCAATTAACCCCTTCCCACACCACTTAACCCCTCTCTCACCCTCATTAACCCTTCCCTCATCCTAATCAACCCCTCCCTCACCCTAATTAACCCATCCCTCACCCTAATTAATCCCTGCTGCCCCTCCCCATCCCCCTCCTCCCCCGATCCTCTCTGGCCCTCCCCCTAATTAACCTCTCTCTCACCCTAATTAATTAATTAATACCTGCCCCACACCTATCCCTCTCACCCCAATTAACCCCTTCCCTCCAAATCAACCCCCTAATTAACCGCCGAATCAACCCCTCCCCCAATCCCTTCTGGCCACTCCCCCCAATTAACCCCTTCTTCCCCAATTAATTAACCCTCCCTCACCCCAATTAACCCCTCCGTCTCCCTAATGAACACCTTCTTCCCCAAATTAACCCCTCCCTCACCCCAATTAACCCCTCCCTACCCTAATTAACTCCCCTAATTAACCCCAGGCACCACCCAGCTGCACAGCTTCCACCTGGAGATGAGCTCCAGCGGCATAAGCATTGACGTCATTGAGGTGGGGAGGGGGGAGGGGCTTAATTAGGGTGGGGTTATTTGGGGCAGGGGGGGTTAATTGGGGTGAGGGGGATGGGTGTGGGGTGTTAATTAGGTATTAATTGGAGGAGTTAACTGGGGTGGGAGGGGTTAATTGGGGTGGAAGGGGTTAAGTAAGGAGGGGGGAAGTGTGTCGGGTATTAATTAGGTATTAAATAGAGGGGGTTAATTGAGGAGGGAGGGATTAATTGGGGTGAGGGGGATGGATTTGGGGGGTATTAATTGGGGTGGGGTTAATTGGGGTGAGGGGGATGGATTTGGGGGGTATTAATTGGGGTGGGGTTAATTGGGGTGAGGAAGGATTTAATTAATTGGGGGAAAACGGGGTTAGTTGGAGTGAAGAAGGGATTAATTAATTTGGGAAAAATGGGGTTAATTTGGGGAAGGGGCCAGATAGTATGGGGGGTTGTTGGCGTTGGATTAATTAGGGTGAGAGAGGGGTTAATTAGGGTGAGGGAGGGTTTAATTGGGGTGGAAGGGGTTAATGGCGGTRGAAGGAGTTAATTGGGGTGAGTGGGATGGATTTCGGGGGAGGGGTGTTAATTAGGGTGGGGTTAATTGGGGTGAAGGGGATGGGTGTGCAGTATTAATTAGGTATTAATTGGGGGGTTAATTGGGGAGAGAAGGATTAATGGGCGGAAGGAGGAGTTAATTGGGGTGAGGGGGATAGGTGTCAATTAGGCACTAATTATGGTGATTAGGGCTTAATTAACACCTTTGACCTGTCCCCTAGGGTCAGCATGTGACCGGGGCTGAGGGCACAGATAATTGGGTGTGGGACATTAATTAGGTATTACTAAAGTGTTAATTAGCTGTTAATTAGTGCGGGGCGTTAATTAGGTGTTAATTAGGTATTAATTAGGTATTAATTAATGCCTCTCCCCCAGGGCCGGCGCGTGACCGGGGCTGTGGGTGCCGATAATTGGGCAGGGGGGCTGCTGGACATGGGGGACCCCGAGAGCTTTGTGCCCAACCCCCACCGGAACAAGAGCGAGGGCTACCTGGGTGAGTTAATTAATTCATTAGCGTTAATTGGGGTTAATTAATGGGGTTAATTTGGATTAATTAATTTGGGTTAATTGGGGAGTGATAAGGGACAGTGAGAGCTTTGTGCCCAGCCCCTACCAGAATGAGAGTGAAGGCTACCTGGGTGAGAGAGTTAATTAATCAGGGTGAATTGGGGTGACCACGGTGACCGCACCCCAAAGCCCAGAGTGACCATGGTGGCCCCAACCCAGAGTGACCAYGGTGACCCCAGCCCAGAGTGACCACAGTGACCCCATCCCAAAACTCAGAGTGATCTGTTCACTGCCCCTTGGTGACCAGGCTGACCATGGTGACCCCAGCTGAGTGACCACAATGACCCCAACCCAGAGGGACCATGGTGACCCCACCCCAAAGCTCAGAGTGACCTGGCGCCCCTTGGTGACCACCTTGACCCTGGACACGTGGTGGCCAAGGTGCTCCTCCCCTTGCTGACCACCGCTGACCACTGCTGTCCCCAGGCTACTCGGTGGCTGGACTGCGCGTGCCAGGCCGGCTGCTGGTGGCCGCAGGCGCCCCACGCCACCGTCACGTGGGGGGGACAGTCCTGTTCGAGGTGGCCAGAGACGGCGGGGCCTGGCGGGAGCTGCAGACCCTGCTGGGTGACCAGGTAGGGGGAGGGGACACTGGGGACGTTGGGGACATTGGGGACACTGGGGACACTGGGGCATTGGGGACATTGGGGACATTGGGGACATTGGGGACATTGGTATGAGGTGACATTCAACCTGCAGGGGGTGGCAACTGTCCCCAGGAACATTGGTGAGTTGGGGACAGAAAGGAAAAATGGGGCAAAAATGGGGAAAACCAGGAAAAATGATGAAAATTGGAGAAAAAATGTGAAAAATGGGGGAAAAATGGAAAAAAATGGGGGAAAATTTGGGACATTGGGGGGATTGGGGAAAAATGGGAAAAATTGGGCAAAAAATGGGAAAAATTGGAGAAAAATTGAGSAAATTTGGGGGAAAATTGGGAAAAATGGGAATTTGGTACATTGGAGACATTGGGGACATTGGTACAAGGTGACATTCGACCTGCAAGGGGTGGCACTTGTCCCCAGGAACATCGGTGAGGTGACATCGAGAAAAAATGGGGAAAAATGGGAAAAAAACCAGCAAAAATTGGAGAAAAAACAGGAAAAAATGGGGATAAATGGATAGAAAGTGAGAAAAAATGGTGGAAAATTTGGGACATTGAGGACATTGGGGACATTGGGGTCACTGGGGACATGGGGCACATTGGGGACACCAGGGACACTAGGGACATTGGGGACACCAGGGACACTGGGGACACTGGGGACAGTGGGGACACTGGGGACACTAGGGACGTTGGGGACATTGGGGACACTGGGGACATTGGGGACACTGGGAACAGTGGGGACATTGGGAACATTGGGGACGCTGGGAACACTGGGTACATTGGGGACACCGGGGACACTAGGGACGCTGGGGACAGTGGGAACATTGGGGACATTGGGGACACTGGGGACACAGGATATTGGGGACACTGGGGAAATTGGGGACACTGGGGACATTGGTCCCAATCTCCCCCTGGTGTCACCGCTGTCCCCTCAGGTCGGTTCCTATTTCGGGGCCACCCTGTGTGCGCTGGACCAGGCCGGAGTGACCGTGGCTTTGCTGGTGGGAGCGCCCGGTCACTACGATGGACGGAGGGGAGGACGCGTCCACCTATACAGCTGGGACGGGGTGAGAGTGGACACTGGGACAGAACTGACCATTGGGGCACCACTGACCACTGACTATTGGGGCACCACTAATCATGGGGACAGCACTGGCCACTGACTATGGGGACAGCTGGGGACAGCACTGACCATGGGGACAACACTGACCATTGGGGACCCAGCCCAGGGTGACCGTGGTCACCTCAAGCAAAGGACCGTGGGATGGGGGTGACCAGAGTAACCCCAGCCTGAGGGGACCGGAGTGACCAGTAGTGACACTGACCCAGGGTGACCAGGGTGACCCCAAGCCAAAACCATGGGGCTGGAGTGACCAGAGTGACCACACCATGAGTCCATGTGACCAGAGTGACCAATGGTGATACTGACCAGGGTCAAGAGGTGACCAGAGTGACCCCAAACCCAAACCATGGGGTCAGAGTGGTGCCGCCGACTTGGGGAGTGACCACCATGGGGTGACCAGCATGGCCAGGGTCACGAAGTGACCAGGGTGACCCCAAACCAAAACCACGGGACTGGAGTGACCAGAGTGACCACACCCTTAGCTCCACGTGACCGAAGTGACCAGTGGTGACAATGACCCAGGGTGACCAGAGTGACCCCACCCTGAGCTCCATGTGACCAGAGTGACCACTGGTGACACTGACCTACGGTCACGAGCTGACCAGAGTGACTGCACCCTCTCTCCACCTCACTGCACTGACCACTCCCTTGTCCCCCCAGGACACTCTGCGTCCCTCTGGACACCTTTGGGGCACCCCCGGTCACCCCTTGGGCCGTTTTGGGGCCTCTCTGGCCACTCTGGGTGACCTGGACAATGACCAGCTGCCCGAAGTGGCCGTAGGGGCACCCCTGGAGGACGAAGAGCGTGGGGCAGTGTACATCTACGGGGGATGTCCAGGGGGCGTGGAGCCTCTCCCCCGCCAGGTGGGACCGAGTGGACATCGGGGGGGGCAGTGGGTCAGTGTCCACTGCCCTGCCAGGTGGGACTGAGTGGACATCAGGGGGTCAGACTGTCCCCTCCCCTACCCCGCCAGGTGGGAACAGAGTGGACATCAGGAGGGGTCAGTGTCCCCTCCCCTCCCACACCAGGTGGGCACTGAGTGGACAATGAGGGGCAGAGTGTCCAGGGGGTGTGGAGCCCCTCCCCCACCAGGTGGGCACTGAGTGGACATTGAGGGGAGTGGACATCAGGGGCCTAAGAGTGTCGACTCCCCCACCAGGTGGGGACTGAGTGGACGGAGGGGACACAGGGGGGTCAGAGTGGACGCTGGGAGGGTCAGAGTGGACATCGGGGGTCTTAGAGTGGACTTTGGGGGGGTCACTCTGGTCATCGGGGTCTCAGAGTGTCCCCTCCCCCCCAGAGGTTGCYGGGCCAGACGGTGGCCCCTGGGCGATTCTTTGGCCTGGCGGTGGCCGGAGGGCTGGACCTGACCGGGGACGGACTGGCCGACGTGGCTGTGGGCATGGAAGGACACGTGGTGGTCATGAGGTGACCCTGGGGGACAGAGAGAGGGGGTCAGAGTGGACATTGGGGGGACAGAGTGGACAGAGGGGGAGGGGACACTGGGGGGACAGAGTGGACAGAGGGACAGTGGGGACATTGTGGACATTGTCCCCTCTGTCCACTCTGTTTCTCTCTCCCTCTGTCCACTCTATCCCCTTTGTCCATTCTGTCCACTCTTTCTGCTCTGTCCACTCTGTTCCTCTGTCCCTCTGTCCACTCTGTCCCCTCCGTCCACTTTACCATCTGTCCACTCTGTCCCTCTGTCCACTCTGTCTGCAGGTCCCGTCCGGTGCTCAGGGTCACTCCCCAGCTGACCTTTGACCCTGTGGTCATCCCAAGCCGCTGGCTGGACTGTTCTGGAGTGACCGAGGGTGTGGTCACTGTCCAGCTCTGCCTGCAGCCACCAGGTCCAGGGGTGGACATGGGGTGGACATGGGGGTGGACACACGGGATGGACATAGGATGGACACAGGGGGTGGACATTGGGTGGACACACAGGGTGGACACGGGATGGACACATGGGGTGGACACACCGGGGTGGACACGGAGGGTGGACACGGGGTGGATACAGGTGATGGACATGGGGGGTGGACACAGGTTATGGACACTGGGGGTGGACACGGGGTGGACACAGGTGATGGACATTGGGGTGGAGACCAGGGTGGCTGCAGCCACTGCTGACCGTTGCCCCGCAGGTGGCCGAGTGACCACAGTGAGGTTCCAGGTGGACGCTGACCCCCAGAGAGCCCAAGGCCGCGGTCATTTCGGGGAGGGGGAGGGGCAGCGCAGCTGGACAGGGGAGATGGGGCCGGAGCAGAGCTGCCAGCAGGGGGCGCTGAGAGTGCGGGTGCGGACCCACACTTGAGGGGCAGAGGGGACCATAGATGGGGGCGGGGACAAATTTTGGGGGGTGGGGCCAAAATTGGGGGGTGGGACCCATAGATGGGGGAGGAGCCGCACTTGGGGGTGGAGACAGGTTTGGGGGTGGAGCCATATTTGGGGGGTGGAGCCACATGTGGGGGCGGGACCCACAGATGGGGGGTGGGTTCCACACTTGGGGAGCGGAGTCCCCATATGGGGGCGGGACCCACTCTTGGGGGGCACACTTGGGCGTGCCACCCCCCACTTGTGGGGCACCCCCCAACCTTTGTCCCCTCGTGCACCAGCCCTGCATCGAGGATTTGGTGACCCCGCTCGGCCTCAGCATCACCCTCACCCTGCCCCATAGCGACCCCCCGGGGCCCATCCTAGCCCCCAACAGCACCCCCACGTGGGCCGAGGTAACCCTGCCGTGGGGCTGAGATGCGGGGAGTGACGGGAGGGGTTGCTGCGGCCCCCTAAACTCACCCCCTGCCCCATAGATCCCCGTGGAGCAGAACTGTGGGGCAGACCAGGTGTGCAGAGCCAACTTGAGCGTCAAGGTGGTGAAGGGGGGCACCGCCGTCGTGGGGGTCCCTGGAGCACACTTGGGGGTCCAGCTGATGGTGCAAAACTATGGGGAGGATGCCTATGGGGCAGCCCTACAAATGCAGCTCCCTATGGGGCTGGCCTTCCGGCGGGCCCAAGCAAGCCAGGTATGCGCGACCCCCAAGTGTGGGGTTTGGGGGACCAACGTGGGGCRGGGACCCACAGATCCTCACCCCACATATCCGCCCCACAGGACTTGGCCCCGGTGCCTGTGAGCTGTCGCGACTCACAGGGCGCTGTGGGGCAGCCGTGGGGCCTGAGCTGTGAGCTGAGCCGGCCTGTGCTGCGCTCCGGAGGGCAGGTGAGACTTGGGGGGCAGGGGAGACCCCCAAGACCCCTGGGCTCTGCCCCACATTGCAGGTCTGCCCCACATCCTGGCCCTGCTCTGCATCCCGGCTCTGTCCCATGCCCCGGCTCTGCCCCACACCCCGGCCCTGCCTCACATCCCAGCTCTGCCCCACATCCCAGCCCTTCCCCACATCCCAGCCCTTCCCCGCATCCCGGCCCTTCCCCGCATCCCGGCCCTTCCCCGCATCCCGGCCCTTCCCCGCATCCCGGCCCTGCCCCACACCCCGGCCCTGCCCCACACCCTGGCCCTGCCCCACATCCCGGCCCTGCCCCACATCCCGACCCTGCCCTACACCAGGTGCTGGTGGAGGTGACCTTCGAGCTGCAGCAGAACACTTCATGGGGACGATCCGTGGGGCTGGCAGCGACTGTGAGCAGGTGGGGCCTGTGTGGCGGGGTCTGTGGGGTGGAGAGGGGTCTGTGGGGCAAGGCAGTGACATCTGTGGGTCTTGCTTGCCCCATAGCAATGCTGGGGTTTGTGGGGCGGGGTCTGTGGGGCAGGCAATTGGTGCCCATGGGTCTCCCTGCCCCATAGCAATGATGGCAGCTGTGGGGCAGGAGTGGGGTCTGTGAGGAGCTGTGGGGCAGGGAAGTGATGTCCACGGATCTCCCCTTCCCCATGGCAATAATGGCAGCTGTGGGGCAGGGTCTGTGGGGCACTACGGGGCAGGGCAGTGACATCTGTGGGTTTGCCCCACAGCAATAACGAGCCTAACGCCACCCTCGAGGATAAGGCGGTCTCCTGGGACGTCCCCGTCCACTTCGCCCTGGACCTCGTGGCTTCCTGGTGAGCCCCACACTTTCCTGCCCCATAGATTCTGTGGGGTGCCCTACTGATGCCACACTGATTCCCCCCGCCCCACACACAGGCAGGAAGACTCCACCCACCATCTGAACTTCACCCCACCCCAGCCCCACAACAAGACGGTGTGGCACCGCTATAGGGTGAGCCCCCCAAATGACCCCTAAGTACCCCCAAGTGACCCCCAAGTGACCCCCTGCCCCACAGCACTGACCCCCAACTCTGCCCCACAGGTGGAGCTCCTCCGGCCGCCCCCCCTGGGCAGCCCCACGGTGCAGGTGACTCCCTTTGTGCTGCTGCCTCATGCGCTGCCCCACGGCGTGGCTGTGGCTGCCCCCCAAGTGCGAGTGGTGAGTGAGGGAGGGTCTCTGCTTATAGCATGCCCCACTGAGCCCTTCCCCCACAGAGACAGGGGRTGGGACCCCGTGGCCCCAAGTTCCTGCTGACCCATAAGTGACCACCTGCCCCATAAGTTACCCCCTGACCCCCAACTCCCTACTGCCCCCAAATCCCTCCTGTTGCCCAAACTCACCCCCTGCCCCCTAAGTGACACTCTGCCCCCTAAGTCACCTCCTGACCCCCATGATCCCCTCCTGCCCCCCAAACTCATCCTCTGCCCCCTAAGTGACCTCCTGCCCCCAATTCCTTCCTGCCCCCTAAGTGACCTCCTGTCCCTTATGATCCCCTGCCCCCTAAGTGACCCCTTGCCCTCTAAGTGACTTCCTGCCCCCTAAGTGACCCCCTGTCCCCCAGCTCTCTCCTGCCCCCTAAGTGACCCACTGCCCCCTTAGTGACCCCCTGCTCCCCAACTCTCTCCTGCCCCCCAAGTGACCCCCTACCCCCCAGCTCTCTCCTGCCCCCTAAGTGCCTCTGTGCCCCACAGGATCCGGGCGGCCTCTGCGAGCCCATGGACCCACACTTGGGAGGCGCTGTGGGTCAGGAGCTGACCACGAGCCTGGCCAAGGTCAGTGGGCGGGGGGGTGAGGGGCAGAGCTCAGCCAGGCCCCAATCCCAAAGTGGGAGGCGTGGCCTAGCCCTGACCCCGCCCCCCTCGGCCCTGCCCCCCAGCGTTGCTCCACCCCCCAAGTGCAGCTGTTCCGCTGCCCGCCGGCCCCACTGAGCCCGTCCAGCCCCACAGCGGTCACTGCCAGCGCTGCCCTGCAGCCGCTGCCCCACAGCCAGGTGCACCTCCCCCACCTGGCCCTGCCCCCCCGCATGGGACACGTCCCCCCGCTCCGCTCTGACCCCACCCCCCAACCACAGGGACCCGCCTATGCCCAGTTTTGCTCCGCCCTTTGGTTGACGCTGCCCCGCCCTCTGCTGGAGGCCACACCTCCTCTGCTGAGGGCGCAGGTAATGGGTGGAGGAGGGGCCAAATGGGGGAAGGGCCAGAGCGGGGCAGGCTCACGTGGAGGGGTCAGAGGGAGAGGGGTCAGAGAAGGGGAGGGGCTGTGGGATGGGGGAGGAGCCACAGGGGGACGGGGTCAGAGAGGGGGCGGGCTCAGAGGGGGAGGGGCCAGAAAGGGGAAGGGGCCAGAGAGTGGAATCAGAGGGGGAGGGGCTCTGGGGTGGGAGGGGTCAGAGGGGGCAGAGCCAGAGGTGGGGCAGGGTCAGAGGAGAAAGGGCTGGAGGGGGCAGGGCTCTTGATGGGGGACAGTCAGAGGGGGAGGGGCCAGAGGGGGCGTGGCTCCGGGATGGGGGAGGGGCGATAGTGGGCAGTGCCCCAGCAGACAGAAGGAGCAGGGCTATACACAGCACCCCCTCCCCCCATTTCTCGTTTTTGGGGGGGGCTCGGTGAGGGCGGGGCCTCTCCTCAGCCCCTCCCCCACCCTCCCCCACCTCTCTGCCTCCCCCTCCCAGGGTTCCACGCGTGTGGAGCTGCTGTGGGAGCCCAACCCCCTCCCCATTGCGCTGGGGGGAGGGGTGGGGGGACTGCTGCTCCTCCTCCTGATCGCCATGGGGCTGGCCAAGGTGGGGCAGGGGCAGATTTTGGGGAGGGTAGGGGCTTGTTCTGACCCCACCCCTCCCCCCTCCCCTACAGTGCGGATTCTTCAGGAGGAACTTACGGGAGAAGATGGAGCAGGGGGGGGAACCAAATGAGCGGGAGGGGCCAGATGAGGGGGAGGGGCCAGAAGATGAGGGGGAGGGGCTGGAGAGCCCCCCTGGAACCCCCAGAGGAGACCCTGCCCCCTCCTGACCATGCCCCCCCAACCCCTCCCACTCTCCCACCCTCTGAAGTGCTCCCAGGCCCCTCCCCCACCCCAATAAACACCAATGGTCACTGATGCTCACTGATTGTCACTGTTGATGGTCATCTCATGGTCAMTCATGGTCACTCTTATGGTCATCTCATGGTCACTCTCATGGGCACTCTTGTTCCACTTTACCAGCAGCAGGTGCATGGTAAGGGATATGGTACACCCACTCAATGACATGTTCCCTAGCCCAGGTGTTTATAAGGCTGTTCTTGAAATGAGTCCCGTTGTCAGACTCAATTCTCTCTGGGGTCTCATGCCTCCAAATGATCTGTGTTTCAAGGCCCAGGATGGTGTTACAGGCAGTGGCGTGAGACACAGGATAGGTCTCCAACCATCCAGTGGTGGCTTCTACCATTGTGAGTACATAGCGCTTTCCATGACGGGTCTGGGGCAGTGTGATGTAATCAAGCTGCCAGGCCTCTCCGTACTTGTACTTGTCCCACCTTCCCCCATACCACAGGGGTTTCACCCGTTTGGCCTGYTTGATGGCTGCGCATGTCTCACAGTCACGGATAACCTGGGAGATACTATCCATGGTGAGATCCACCCCTCGGTCTCGTGCACACTTATATGTGGAATCTCTGCCTTAGTGCCCGAGGCTTCATAGGCCCATCGAGCTAGGAACAACTCCCCCTTGTGCTGCCAATCCAGGTCAATCTGGGACACCTCTATCTTTGCAGCCTGATCTACCTGCTCATTGTTTCAGCGCTCCTCATTAACCCGGCTCTTGGGGACATGGGCATCTACATGGCGGACTTTCACAGGTAACTTCTGCACTCGGGCTGCAATGTCTTTCCATTCTTCAGCAACCCAGATTGGTTTTCCCCTATTCAGCCAATTGACCTTTCTCCATCTGTCCAGCCACCCCCACAAAGCATTGGCACCATCCATGAATTGGTGTAAAGGTAGAGCTTTGGCCACTTTTCTCTCTCAGCAATGTTCAGGGCCAGCTGTATGGCTTTGAGTTCAGTGAATTGACTTGATCCACTTCTCCTTCTGTGGCCTGTCATGTGGGGCTCCATACAGCTGCTTTCCACTTTCGGCTCATCCCTACAATGCAAGAGGAGCCGTCAGTGAAGAGAGCTTAGCCTTTATCCTCTGCTGGCAGKTGGTTGTATAGTGGAGCTTCCTCAGCCCGGGTCACTTGTTCTTGTTCCTCTTCATCAGCAAGACCAAAGTCTTCACCTTCAGGCCAATTTGTGATTATTTCCAGGATCCCAGAGCAATTTGGGTTTCCTATATGGGCACGCTGCCCATTTGCTCCAGGTAGCATCAGTAGCATGGTGGGTAGAGGGGACTTTAGCTTTGAGCATTCACCCCAGCACTGGTAATCGGGGTGCCAAGAGGAGTTGGGCTTCAGTGTCAATCACTTCTGAAGCAGCTTGGACTCCTTCATAGGCTACCAAGATCTCCTTCTCTGTTGGGGTGTAGTTGGCCTCAGACCCTTGGTAGCTTCGGCTCCAGAATCCCAGTGGCCGGCCTCGAGTCTCACCAGGGACCTTCTGCCAAAGGCTCCAGGACAGACCATTGCTTCCAGCTGCAGTGTAGAGCACGTTCTTCACCTCTGGTCCTGTCCTGACTGGGCSGAGGGCTACCACATGAGCGGTTTCTTGCTTGATCTGGGCGAAGGCTTGCTGCTGTTCAGGGCCCCAGTGGAAATCATCCTTCTTGAGAGTCACCAAGTAGAAAGGGCTCACGATCTGTCTGTGTTYGGGGATGTGCATCCTCCAAAAGCCTATGGCACCCAGGAAAGCTTGTGTCTCCTTTTTGCTGATTGGTAGAGACATCGACGTGATCTTGTGGATGAGCTTGGTGGGGATCTGATGCTGTCCATCTTGACACTTTACCCCCAGGAACTGGATCTCTCGAGCAGGTCCCTTCACTTTGTTCCTTTTTATGGCAAAGCCGGCTTTCAGGAGAATCTGGATGATCTTCTCCCCTTTCTCAAATACTTCCATTGCCATGTCCCCCCACACAATGATGTCATCAATGTATTGAAGATGTTCCGGAGCCTCACCCTTTTCCAGTGCAGCCTGGATCAGCCCATGGCAGATGGTGGGGCTGTGCTTCCACCCCCGGGGCAGCCGGTTCCAGGTGTACTGCACACCCCTCCAGGTGAAAGCAAACTGTGGCCTGCACTCTGCTGCCAGAGGAATGGAGAAGARCGCGTTGGTGATGTCAATGGTGGCGTMCTACTTCGCTGCTTTGGACTCCAGCTTGTACTGGAGCTCCAGCATGTCCGGCACGGCAGCGCTCAGCGGTGGAGTCACTTCATTTACGCCACAATAGTCCACAGTCAATCTTCATTCTCCTTCAGACTTGCGCACAGGCCAGATGGGGCTGTTGAAGGGTGAGTGGGCCTTGCTGACCACCCCTTGGCTCTCCAGCTCTCGGATCATCTTATGGATGGGGATCATGGCATCTCGATTMGTTCGGTACTGCCGGCGGTGCACTGTCGAGGTGGCGACTGGAACGTGCTGCTCTTCCACCTTCAGGAGTCCAACAGCAGAAGGGTTCTTGGATAGTCCAGGCAAAGTGTTCAGCTGTCTGATGCCCTCYACCTCCACAGCAGCTATTCCAAAAGCCCACTTGAGTCCTTTAGGGTCTTTGAAAAAACCATTCCGGAGGAAATCTATGCCCAGAATGCACGGGGCCTCTGGATCAGTCACCATGGGATGTTTCTGCCACTCCCTCCCAGTCAGGCTCACCTCAGCTTCCAACACAGTCAACTCCTGTGATCCCCCTGTCACCCCCACAACAGAATTGGGTTCTGCCCCCACGTGTCCCGATGGCATCAGGGTACACTGTGCTCCCGTGTCAACCAATGCCTYGTATTTTTGTGGCTCTGATGTACCAGGCCATCGGATTCACACTGTCCAGAAGACACGGTTTTCCCATGCCTCTACCTGGCTAGGGGCAGGGCCCCTCCTAACACTGGGTATCATCCCTTCCGTGGGCACACCCACAGGTTCCTCCAAGGGAATCGGACATATCACCTCCTCCTCCATTGCATCTAGTGGGTTGGCTATGGGAAGCTGAAGCTACTTTCCTTTTAGAAAAGCTGCCTTGGCTAGTGTTTTCCCCCTTGAGCTGACGCACCAGGGCTGCCAGGGCAGAAGTGGGTTTCTCATTCCACTTACTCATGTCTTCACTGTGGGCACACAGGAAGAACTACAGCTCAGCTCGTGGGGTGTACCTTCTTTCCCTTGCTGAGGGACGTTGGGCACTGATGTTGGGGCCTGTGACTTGCACTGGTGCCACACTGATCTTCATCTCCTCCTTAATCTCTTTCAACTCCTCTTGGAGGTCTTTAACCACAGCAGAGACGTGAGCCTGCATCGGGCCATTGATCATACTCCCATAATACCGGAGCCTGTTGGCTACAGAACCCACTGTCTCTCGGTTATCATCAGCATTAATTGTGGCAATGAAGGTGGCATACTGGGATGGCCCCTGACTTGCCAGATTCCATAGCATTTGCCCGGTGCACCTGACCTGGTCAGGATCACTATGATGCTGCCTGTCCCTTCCAAAGAGTACCTCCATTACTCCTGCTTCTCTGAGCCGTTGGATCCCTTCTCAGGGCATTCTGCAATAGTATTCCTGCATCTTGTCTCGGTGGACAAACCTCTCTCTTACACTCATTAAGAGCCGCTCCCAGAGAGAAAGGGGCCCTGGCTCCCTCTCATGGTTTGGAATGCTGGCTGAAAGCAAGGCACCCACAACACCTGCTCACTCACTCTTCACTGCCACCACTGGGCAGAGAAGAGCGAAGSAAAAAAAAAATAGCAAAAGGGTCCATGAGTTGAGATAAGGAGCAGGGAAGAAACGCTTGATGGACACAACAGGCTCCGCTTAAGTTACAGAGTGAATTTATTGCTAACAAACTCAGAGGAGGAGAATGAGAAATAAAATAAAACCCTCAAAGACACCGATCTTCTTCCCACTTCCTCCCCCCTTCCCACTGACAGTGCAAAGCAGGTGGGGTGAACAGGGTGTGAGCGTTGCTCAGTTCATCACTGGATCACCTGTGGCTGCTGAGGGAGAGAAGTCCTTCCCTTGCGTTGCCATGGGGTCCCTCTCACGGGAGACAGTTCTCGGTGAACCTCTCCGGCGTGGTTCCACTCTCACGAGCAGCAGTTCATACCCATCTGCTGCAGCGTGAGTCCCCCCACAGGCAGACAGTCATCCCAAAACTGCTGCACCGTGGGGTCCCTCATCCACTGGGTGCAGTCCCAAGGCCAGGCTGTTCCATCTCGGGAGCAAAGCCTCTCTCTCCATGGCTCTCCTGCTGGACACAGCCCCTTCTCGGCATCCGCCTGCTCCAGCGTGGGGACCTCCCTTCTCCACGGGCTGCGGGTGGATCTCTGCACCCTCTGTGGACCCCATGGGCTGCAGGGGGACAGCCTGTTCCACCATGGTCGTCACCACGGCCTGCAAAGGAATCCCAGCTCTGGCGCCTGGAGCAGCTCCTCCCCCTCCTCCACTGGCCTTGGTGTCTGCATCTCTCACATATTCTCAACTCCTCCTCTGGCAAAACCACTGTGTCTACCCCTTTGTTTTGATTTCTTCTTAAATATGTTTTCACAGAGGGTAACCACCATCTCCAATTGGCCCAGGTTTGGTCAGTGGCATGTCCATCATCCTCAGAGCCAACAGWGATTGACTCTGCAGGACATGGTGGAAGCCTCCAGAAGCTTCTCACAGGAGCCATCTTTTTAGCCCCTCCAGTTTCAAAAACAGGGCCAGGCAAAACCAACACACTCTCTCACAAACACCTGAATAATACCTGCATCTTGGGTCAAGGCTCCCAAATGCCTTGCCTCGCCACTATCCAATTACACACTTGAGCCCATAAGGTCCCAAACACAAAATAACCAGGTTGAACAAGCCTCATCTCCCCATCACGCGATGTCATCTCGCAAATTGCGGAGGCTGTCATGCGACATGGACTCAGTGATTATTTCAGACTCTGGCTCCCCTGCTGGTTGTGAGGATCCTGGCTCCCCATCATCATTAGATGAGCA